AAGCAAGGCGGGGGGGGCAGAGCGCAGAAGGCTTCGGGTGCGCCCCTCACCCCGGGCCTAACTGGCCTGGGGGCGGGGGAGCAGCAGGGTCTCCACGGGCCGGATCCACCCGCAGAGGCCCGTTTGCCCGGGCTGGAGCGATGCCGCGTCTGTCGTGAGGACCCTGGCGCGGAGCCTCGCTCAGTGGCTCGCGGGGGGGGGCACTGCAAGACAAAAGTCAGTCAAGAGGAGCATGTTGTCAGTTGAGCACTTGCTGCGAAAGTCAGCGCCCCCCCCACTGGCCGGCGCGTCCTCCCTTGCCCGCGGCTCTTGCGGCCGGAGAGTTAGCGCCCCTCGGCGAGAAGCCGGATCCCTCCCCTCCCCCACACTCAGTTCTCAACAGCCCCTCCGACGCGGCGAGGAAATCCAGTCCACGGAAAGAGCTTCCTGGGCTGGGGATGGACGCGAGCAGGCGGACCAAGGGCTGGACGACGCCCCCTCCGCTGCCTTGTAGGAGAGGCAGCTGGGGGGGGGGGACCCTGCTTAACAGCTGGGCCCCCCCGGCACCGTCTCAGTGGTGCGCCTGCCACCCCACCCCCTTTAGGAGGCAGCGGGGGGATGGGGGAGGCTGCTCCTGCAAAGCAGCCTGTGCTCACATGGGGGGCCGAGGCTTTCGCCATGGGCAGAGGCTGCTCCAGCAGCAGCCCCCGGCCGTGGGGTCCCAGCAGGGAGCTGTCCCCTCCCCCCCAGACAGGGACTGCTGCTGCCAAGCAGCCCCTGTTCACAGTGGCCCCAGCTGGCTGCAGGCGGGGGCTGCTCCTGCTGCAGCCTCTGTCCGTGGCAGGCCCTGGCTGCTGGCCCCGGGGTGAGCTGGGAACGAGCAGTCCCAACTGGTGCAGGTCTGGGACGCTGAGCCTCTGCACTTCACTACATCTGACAGCGCCCCGCAGCTCTTGCATTTAAAATGCAGAAGCCCCAGCGGCCCAGAGCCAGCACGAGCCGGGATCAGTCCCAGCTCCCGCCGGGTGGCTCGGAGGAGGGGCCCCTTATCGCCTCAGCGGGTAGCCGACAATTCACATCGACAGACAATCACACGTTAACACCCTTCCTGAAAGGTGGGGATGTGAAAGTCAGCTCCCAGGGAGCCCCCGTATCGGAGGCAGGAGCCGGGGGCGAGGCAGGCGGGGAGCCGGCTGGGGAGCCCCCCAGTGTAACCGCTGATTTTTCAGCCGTCGCACATTTACTGGCTGCATGGGGGTGAAGCTGAGCTCGGCCCTGGGCACATGCAGCTTTGGCAGCACCACTCGGCCTCGGCGCGGCATGGTACAGCCCTGCCAGCCACACAGGTTGTACGGGACCAGGGCCTGCTTCCATCCTGGCGACAGCCGGCAGCCCCCCCGCGTCACACTCGCCTCGTCCCAGGCCAGAGAAGGCGGCAGGATGCCAGCCCAGCGGGGAAGCCCTGGGCCAATAGGAGCGGATGCCTGATACGCGGGGGCTATGTCAGGCCCTTGGTGATGGCATGAGGTGGCCAAGCGCGAGGGAGAGCAGGGGAGCAGCAAGGCGCGGCCTGAGGGGGGTGCGTGGGCCGTGAATTAACAGCTTCTCTGCCGTAGGGCTGCTACACAGCCGAGCTCCTTCGCTTGTGGCATGCCAGTGACTTCTCCTTCCAGGGTGTGGAAGCACCGCCCAGAGGCCTGACCCTGCCCAGCCCCTCCGCAAAACCCCGGCCCTCCTTCCCCTGGATTATAAACCCGTCCCCTCTGCACGTGCAGCCGCGCACACGCTGCCGCGCACTGCTGCAGAGCAGCCATTGGCATGGGGGGGACCAGGAGGGAAAGCAGCCCCCCCGTGCA